TGTAATGTGGTAACGCCCACTTCGCAAAGCCACTGCAATAAGTGCCGTAATGTCCACTTCTGCCTACCCCTTCGGGGTCAAAAAGGCGTGACGTTATATTGTAAAACTCATAACAACAAAGTTATTAAAAGAATATCTATTATTCCTAGGCTAGTCGTGCCGGCGTCGTTTTAGTGCCCAATGATAAAATTTAACGATCTGTTCGCGATGTAACAATGTAACTTTCCATGCATCGTAATCTACCAAACAATTTATTGTAATGACCTCCAAATAATTCAGGAAACATTTCCATGACTATCGTCTAAACAATAATATAACATTACTTTTATTATTCCCCAGAGAAAAACCATAAATTAATTGAAATTCTTATTGTGTCCCATGTAATAGGAGGCTCGCCTATGATCAAATATCAGGCACATATTATCTCTAGATAATATGGCATTAACGTGGGGTCGACCCTACGATAATGCCATGCTTCGTCATGAATGTGCCGATTCGACTGGAGACCACGGTCTCACAGAAAACAGTGTAAGTCCTCCCTTCCCCAATCTCGCCAATCCCTGAATCCCCAACAATCCTCAAATTTCTAATCCCTAGAAGGCCGGTAACGCACTTGTAACGCCTCTGGTGTTCCAGGTGTCCATGGGCGACGCCGATTGCTGTGATTGCAAGGCGGATCACCTTATGATCCGTCTGCTCGTTTACCGGTTAATCCCATAAGAAAATACCAAATATTTTTTTAGCTGACCTAGTAAACTTAAAACTCACTCGCATTTTGATTATTTAATTTTACACCACAATTACTTTATTCTATTGACGTCTCCTCAGCCTTAGATGCTACCAAAATAAAGAAGTTCGTAATTAAATGCAACATGGAGGATAAAATAAGGACTCACCACCAGATAAACCGACTAGTAATCTGCCTAATATAAGCATTTCGACTGAGTTAGCTTTTTGGCACAGCAGGAACAGCAGCCCGCCGGCGATTGATAGCACGCTCGTTACTACCGTCGCCATTTTTCTGCAACAAACATAATATCAATCAGACATATTCTAATCGATCTTATTGATTATGTCATATCAGTATACGGTAAACAATCAATGGACAATATGGACATGGACAATCAATGGATGGAGCAACAACGACGACGAACAAGCACGAATTGTAAGCGTGCTTCAATTAAGCAGTAACAAGTCGTCACTTAATGTCAAAGTGAAAGCATTTATTTCAATCAATCCTTAATTAGGCATTTTTGAAACGTCAAAGATTGAATATCCGTCCGTCTGTCTGTCAGTGAAGCTAGGCGATCGTTCTAAAGTCTAGTGTGGTTTCGAATGGAGAAGAACTTAGTAGCATGTGTGTCGAAATGTTGCTCAAAATTAGCATGCTTATTTTGGGTATGTTTGCTTATCGACAGGCTTTCCATTTTTGAACATTTTTTAGCATGCTCAATAGAAGGCCTTTTAGCATGCTATTTTAAAGCATGTGTAATAAGTACCTTTACCTTCTATGACATTTCTAGTCTAATTGTCTTAATAATATTATAGATGCGAAGTTTGTGAGTTTGTGTTTGTGTGTACACCCGGCCACACATCAATCTATACAAAACCAGTTTATCCTGGTGTCGCGTCGCATCATCTTTCCGCACATTTAACGTTCAGTTTATACTGGTCATGTAAAGCTCGATGTGTAGCCGTGTGTACGTTTATTACTCAATCGCGTCAAAACGGCTGAAGGGATCTTGATGAAATTTGAAACAGGGATTGATTATGGTCTGAAAATAACACTTAGTGTACTTTTTAACTCACAGGAACGCGAGCAAACCCGCGGGGAGAAGCTAGTCCCTTATAAATCTACAGACAAACAGGTTATTGAGTTTGAGCCATACTTGAGCATTCCGTATGAAAAGTGAACTATGCTTCTAGTAAGCATCAGTGTCTTGTTGCCTCATTCTTCCGACCTGATTACAGACCCCTATAAATCATGAAGGGATCAAAAAATCTGACCTTATCTGATCAAGAGGGATTGAACTATGGGACATATATTACTTTGCGACTTATTGACTTATGCGTTATAATATGTACGCGATAACAAAATCAAATCTGTGTGTACACATTTAAAATCAGCATTTGTACGCATCTTAATTAATTTACGTAATTATTTAATTCAGTTCGTATCGACCAATCGTGAGGTTTCTGTCTCTGGAGCTCTAACCACCGGTAGCTTGAACCATGCTCTTACTACTGGTCAGCCCCTATTTATAAATAATATTTTTCTGTTTTTTTATTAAGTAGTATTTAAAAATGTAACTTCAGAGAATTTTAAATGTTAGTATCATTATCTCTATAATACTATAATATTATATTATATTACAAATATTACTTCTTAAGCTATTATAGGCTGAAGACTTTGTTTGTTTGAACGCGTTAATCTCAGGAACTACTGGACGGATTCCAAAAATTATTTTTGGTGTGGACAGTCCATTTATCGAGGAAGGCTATATGCTATAAAATATCACGCTACGTTGAACAGGAGCAGCGAGTGCAAACGCGTGGGAACAGCTAGTAAAACAACATATTACTAAAACTCAGCACAAAAGGTATGATGAATCAGTTAATAAACACTGTGGACTACATAACGCAGTTTAATATTTGTAATACCTGTCGACTGTTATGCAAACTCCTTCGTATCACGAGGGCATTATAGTGTCAGTAGGAGCTGTGTTTGTGGAATGAGAAAATGACACAAACAACTGGATATTTTACAAGCTTTCACATACGTTATTATAGCTTTTGTTTTAGTAAATGCTGAGTGAAAAGGAATGCATATTGTGTGTAAGGAACTAAGGACAGACGGACAGATTATTTATTTTATATTTGTTGACGTTTCAAAAGTACAAAATTATGATTTGGTATGGTTAATCTTAGTGTAGGAGCACTAGGATTTTCTATTATATCGTGGGTGCATTTACAAACATACTATTTCACACATGACACCCAGATCCATAACAACAATGTGTAGATCACACAAAGAGTTATTACGTCCGGAAACCGAACCCGCAACTCGTTTTACAATCCGTACAGAAAAAAATCCATATTTAGTTCTCTGCTTACCTTCCCAAGCTGTTTGCAAGTACAGCGCCGAGTATGGAGCCGGTGCAGCCTCCGACTATGAAGATGGAGACCACGAACGACCAGAGCACGTTCAGCCATTTTTCGTCGAGGACCACGTCGTACCTGGTTACAAAACTTTCGTTGCAAAAACTTTTTATCACCTGGAATGTATAGAAAACCTTGCATTATGCCTTTTGTAATAAAGCTCAAAGAGCCATCAGACCACTACGGATGGGGTCCAATAGGGCTGATGCCGATACGGAGCCGCGGAGGACTTAACGGGTTGCCGGGGCTCCGGCTCGAAGGGCAGGAGTAGGAACGGGGTGGTTTTTAGTCAGTAAGAGTCTGACACTTACTTCTCCCGCCTCACCCAGGCGGTAGAAGTCATTCGACGATCCCTTTTTTCCGATCCCGGATTTTCTCCTGTGTCGAGGGTGCCTTTACAAACATACAAGTTCACATACATGACAGACATGACACCTAGACCCGAAACAAAAACCTGTAGATGACACAAAGAGTTGTTCCATGCGGGAATCAAACCCGCCACTCGTTGCCCAGCCACCGCATTAACCGTGCAGTCCATTGGGATCATTGCGACAGATCTGTGTGCATTTTCCATTCTCCCCTATCAAACATCACGACATCGTAAACACCATAAAGATCCTTTCTTTCACAATACATAATTATTATTATTTCCTCAATTCCTAAATATTTACTCATTCAATCTGCCTTTCCATCCATTCATAAAAAGAAATTGTTGATGACAGCAGTACCTAATTACTATAAGGAAATTAACACAGGAAAAATGAAAACTATGCAAACACAATATCACAATCATGAACTGCCATACAATTCTAATTGAAGTTTCTTGTTACTTTTACCGTCTCATTGTGAAACGAATGAGGTGATGTGATCGAGAACTGAGTTGCTTTATTTCTTCCGGTAAGATGACATTACAAAGTACCAGTAATATGACCGAGACCGAGATTATAAAGTAACTTCACGCCAATTTTCATCAGACACAAAGCATAATCGCAAATACTGTGTTATCGTCCTGACAAGTTGACAACGTGCTCAATAAAGTGCAGAGGGCTTACTCTTGAATCCAATTCTAATCCATCAATATAGATATTGTGCAACTTCGTACTCTTGAGTTGCAAAACTAGCGCCCATTGCATTTTTTTATGGCATAAGCCGGTAAATGAGCCGACGGATCACCTGATAGTAAGCAATCGGCGTCGCCCAGACACCTGGAACACTAGAGGCGTTACAATTGCGTTACCGGCCTTTTGGAATTAGGTTTGAGGATTGTTGGGGATTCAAGGATTGGGGAAAGGGGGCGGGGACGGTAATTGGACCTCCGGTAACTTCACTCACACAACACAACGTTGTTTCACGTCGGTTTTCTGTGAGGCCGTGGTATCACTGCGGTCGAGCCGGCCCATTCGTGCCGAAGCATGGCTTTCCCCTCACTTAAAAACTTGTTACTAAAGGAAACCAACTACTTGCAAATAGGTCACAACTTCACAACTTCAAGCCACGACGCAAGGTTATGTAAAAGTAGACGAGTTATTACCCTCTTACACATTTTCTTAGAAATCCTATAACCACTTAGATTCTTCTACTTAATTAAATTCACATTGACGGATTCAAAATGTCAGGGTGCCCCAGAGATTTATGACGCCCGCTTCTCATGCATGAGGGTGCGGTTTCAAAACCTACCAACGACAAGTGCCAATTTATGATTATCTAGACACCACTAGACAAACAGTGAAGGGAGATTTCGTGAAGCTGACTTATAAATTTACCTGAGCTTATAAATTTCAATTAAGTATAAATTTGAAATCGCCAACGCTCATTGTGCAAGCGTGGTGATTAATGCTCGAACATTCTGCGTGTGAGAAGAGGCCTATGGTCAGCAATAGCCACTTATAGGCTGTTGATGATGATGATAAAATTGACGCCATAGGTACCTACAGAGTAAAACTCCATTACCTACAATCAACCTTCTCTAATATGTATGTCGAAATTCTTTAATTACAACTTTATTTTCTTTACACATAAAGGTAAAATTATTACACAGTTCCTCCTGTACATAACAATAACAAGAAAGTTAATTCTAACATAAATTCGTTACACTGATAATGAACATTGTTATGATGTAGGTAGGTAGATCAATGTAAGCATGAAAAATAGTGTTACACAATAAACTACCGTACACTTGCGAAATCTCAGTATTTTAATAGTTAGATAAGCAATAAATTGAAAATAAAAACCAAACGTATGTACCAATTATTAATCTAAATGAAAGAAAATAAAACCATCTCCACTACCTTACCCATTTCCATATTGCTATTAACTGCAACACCAAAATTGCTAACTTAATGCATTGACTAACTTGACTCCAAGCTCCTTCATACTGTTAGGCGCCGAAAATCCACTAAATTAACGTTACTATTTTAATCTGTATTATCGACAGCACTAGTTGTCATGTTGACGATGTCATATGTCAAATACGACAGATTAGAAAAGTTTCCCGCGCAAATAGTTGTAACAACAAGTTGCCAAGGAGGAAAAAAAAGATTGTAATTGATTCTTGTGCAGCTGGTTTAAAATAAACTTTTTGCAGTATTGAAGTATTGAGTTTTACTTAAAAATACTTACCTATGTACAGTCAACCAAATTATTTAGTATGCAGGTAAAAAATAAGAAGAGTGTGCATAGAGTGGGGAATCTAATCTAGAATCTAGGGGAGGTTTTATTGAGGTAAAAATCCCACTACTTAGTCGTTTTCCCCAAAGGGCTATGCGCCTTTTGAAGGTAGCCCCAGGTCAATAAAACAAAAATATAAACAATAAAGAATGCTTCAGTATATTGATAGGTATAATAAATTGTATCTATTAACGAAATCACATATCTTTTATGGGATAAGCCAGTAAACGAGCTGATGGATCAACTGATGTTAAGCAATCGGCGTCGCCCATGGACACCTGGAACACCAGAGGCGTTACAAAGGTAAGGGGGAGGGGGGTAGTTGGGCCTCCGGTAGCCTCACTCACACGACAAAACACAACGCAAGTTGTTTCACGTTGGTCTTCTGTGAGGATTTTTCTTTATTTTCTTTATCTTTTGCAACCTATGGTATTTCGTCGGCTCAGTGGCATTCCTACTGTCTCTGTACTGAACCAATCGTTATTTTCTTACCTACATACTAATATAATAGTATTACTAATGCAGTAGTACTACTAAATAACTTAGTTCATACAGTCACAATTACACTTATACAATTTTCCATCTACAATCAAGTAAGTACTATAAAAAGAAGAAAATGTAATCAATGCCTATTCTTGATTGCATTCCTCGCGCACGTGTTTTTCAAGCCATTAATCTTTCAAATGGTGACAAAAGTATGGTATGAGATCGCCTAACTCCATTTAAATGTTTCATATGAATTATAATTCTAGTAGCTTCTGCCAGCGGCATCGCCGTTCCCATGGGATGAAAAACCTTTGTGTTACTTCAGACCTGTCTTTGTTACTTTCATCTCGGTCCCTTCAGCCGTTTGACGTGATATAGTAACAGTCATCAAAGTATCAGTGATCAAAATCTCGACACTGGCAGTATAATCGACAACACCGTTTAGGAGACTCGGTTGCCAAAGAAGAAAAAAAAAGTGTGTATGTTACACTTATTTTATGTGTGCGAATATTTATTCTCAAAGAGCCATCAGACCACCACAGATGGGGCCCAATAGGGCTGTTGCCGATTCGGAGTCGCGGAGAACCTAACGGGTAACCGGGACTCCGGCTCGACGTGCAGGAGAAGGAACGGGGTGGTTTTTAGTCAGTAAGAGTCTGACACTCCCTTCCGCCTCACCCAGGCGGGAGCAGTCATTCGATGATTTGCCCCCCTTAAAAAAAAATTATCTTATTGGCCGAGTGGTCTCAAGTGCGACTGCCGGGCAAGGGGTCCCGAGATCGATTCCCGTATCAGGCAAAATATTACAGGGTTATTCAAAAAAATCACAGTAGTAGCACGGAGTCTGGAATAGTGCCCGGTATATGGCAATAGGCTCACCCCCTATTACATGGGACTCATAAAATAAATAGTGAAAAGTGGGTGTTACATTGTACAGTGGTATAATGTACACCTCTGCCTACCCCTTCGGGGATAAAAGGCGTGATGTTATGTTATCCTATAATTCTTTTATTCCATACTAACTAAAGTAATTACGTTTATAACAAAAATATTTTGTAAATAACTAAATCGGGCAATCTACACCATTATTTCTTGACACAGTTTTCGCGATTTACTTACATCATATTAATATCATCAGCGTCTCTAATCAAAGTTTTATAGCTGTTGCTTTTTATAGCATTATAGAGGGATTATTGCTTAAGTAATTATGAAAATTATTAATATTTTTCCTCATAAGCGCAGACGTTTGTCAATGAACATACATAGATATACTTCTTGTTAACAATTACTTCATTCCGTATAAAAAACGGAAAATCACATATTTTGCTGAGTCACCCTAAAATTGAAAGTAATTTCGAGTGTAATAAAAAATCGCTAATTAACAAGTAAAGTATAAACAACTTAAGAAAATCGTATCGTTGTATAATAATTTCTTAAATGTTTAATTTTATGGTCGAATGAGCACTAGTTCAACTCTTCACAATTTCTCATTAAATGCCAACTAAAAATAAACATTAATAGGCATTTATCTGTGTACAAATATTTTTAATTTGAAAGGAACCTGTTAGTATAGCGACTACTTCAGAAAATATAAATCCTATCCTAGTTAGCAATGAGTAGAGCAAAATGTTGTCTTATGGCTATATTTTACTGGGACACCGTATAAACTGGTTGCGCATCCAAGCGGACACCAGGTGAGCAACTCGCTACTTATAGACCTGTACAAAATTTAGCCCTTAGAAAATTTTTACAAATGATACGCGGTGTAACAATGTGCCCTATAACAGACTATTTATTTGGTATTTATCTATGCAGGAAACCAGTGCTCCGGGAGCTGGTCCAAAATCTCTATAAACACTTTGTCTTCCTATATGACGTGTTCGATCCAACCAAAAAAAAAAGAAAAAATATATTCTCAAGTTTAGTTAAGGGATACTAAGAAAAACACAGGCAGGGGCCTGTGTTTTTCTTAGTATCCCTTAATGAGAACTACACGCGGTCAAAGCCGCAGATAAAATCTATATTTATTATAGGATAGAGGACAAACGAGCAGACGGATCACCAGGTGGTTAGCTATAAGCATATATAGCACAACCCGTGGACATTCAAAACACCAGAAGATGATTCTTACAAAGTTGGAGAGTATTTTTATTCATTTGAACGCGCCAATCTACAGAACTATTGTTTCAAATTAAAGTAAGTAATTACTTACGTCAGCAGGTGTATTAACAACTCCAATATTGTATCCGACAGGCAGCGAGGAACCCAGCGTTGTCACTATCCCAGCTAGGACCAAGTAGAAGGACCATCCCCCCTTGTAGTCGTGCGAAGTAGTCAGATGCTGGTGCTCGGTGGTTATCTGGGGGATAAAGAAGAGCGCTTAGACATAATTATATCAATGCCATATTAGCCTACACTCTTCTTTCTACCCTTTATCTAAATTATTCGGCATGAGAGCAGTTTATGATTCCTCTGTACATTACAAATCCTCCTATACCGAGTTCGTTCGTTCGTGTTCGTTTTTTTTTCGTAAATAATTTTGAGAGACTAAAATCAGTCTATCCGAATAATAATTGATTCTCTTGAAATGCCAACGGGCGTATTATAGGTACCTACCTAATAGGTGTCTGGAAATCCTGATTGGCGGTTTAACAACTTTATTTTAATTATCCAAAGGAAAAATTTGCCAAATATTATTAAAGTATTGACCTTGCAAAAAAGGTCTTCGAAAGTATCGCAACGTTCTCACTTGTCGACAACGAATTCCAATAAAAACAACACTACGATTTAGAAAGTACGAACCGACAATTCTATCCATCTAAAATAACATTCAAAAAGACCAACTTACAAACAAATTAATAAAATCCTTCAGCTTCATTTTAATCACAAAAAATCCTAAACACACACTAATTAAAGTTCACACTTTCACCACTTAATAGCACACATAGTAGTTATAGCTGTGGCCAAGTCGAATGTCGATGGCAGGATGCTGCAGAGAGTAAAAACTGGCCAGTACCAGTCACAGAGCCAACCGCCCACCACGAAATAAGTGAGGGCTATGGACGCCGCGCCGTGCCCCGCGATCGCTGATACACATCGTCAAGGAGGTTTTATTGTGAACTGAGCAATTTTATACTTAGAGCTATGCTATTTCTATTTTTGTTGCAGGATATGTCGGATTATCGAGATGGTCGGATGTGGGTGTTTTAATGAATTGTTATTGCCATTTTTAAATGGGTAAAGATTTAAGTATGTGATTAAAGATTTGTTTTGTTTTGTGATTTGCTAAACTTAATCTTACAGGCGCGCAATATGAGCCGCAATATTTTATTTGCACGTCATTTATAGATTATTAAGAAAAAAACATTAATTTTATTTATAAGAACTTGGTGTACTAATCAATTGTACTTGACAAGCAATAAATGAATATGTAATAATAAAATAGATATAAAAATAGAAAAATATGTTCATAATAATGATGTAATTTTCCATCTGTTTTTCCAACAAGGAAAACCATAATTTGTTGTAGCAATAATAACTATTGTCATACGACAAGTGAACCTATTGTCATCCAAGAAAATAAATTCACACGATACCAAACTTTTTACTAACATAAATGTAGCTAATTTTCGTTGTGTTCAACGTAAAAAACTATGTACTTATAATAATAACTATTACTTTAATCTGTAATTTCCATTTTTAGAGCATAACATAATGTTGGTTCTGATTATACACGCAACTCTCATAAAGAGCTGGACTAATTTGCCAATTTCTTTTACCACAGACATTTTTTAAATGTGGAAAAAAAATAAAAAAAAACATATAAAATATTGAAGATCTAGTAATACGTAGTAAATAGTAAAGGGCTGTTTGTCTGTTACAAAAAGACAAATTAAAAGCAAATGTTATCGGCCACAGATAACCTAATGTCCCACTTTTACGTTCATGAATGAGTATTATTATCACGCGAATTAAAGGATGCAATTCATCTACTAAATGCGTAAAAAGAAACGTGAACATATTAACATCAGTACCTTTGATTGAGTCGTTATTAATGGAATTTAGAACCCATTAATTAGTAGGTTTTATCGTTGTGCCTGTGGATATTGATATATGTACTCACATAATGACTATAGTGACAAGAACTGAACAAGTTCATAATTATTTATTAAACAACAATCTAAAAAGAAAATAAATCACTTTAAAACCTTACTAGCTTTTTGCCCACCTAGCACTATGCTAACTTTTTGTGTAATACAAATTTTCTTTACTTTCGTTTCCATTGAATGCACTAAGGTCATTCACAAGCATGAAATACAGATTATACACAAGAAAACTAGCACAATAAGTACCTGTTTAGCTCGCCACACAGGATTGTCAGGATCCAATTAGCAAGAGCCCAAATTTGGAGATACTTCAAACATATCAGTTTTAATATTGGGACTATTGAGTCCCTGCATCTCGATTTTTTTTTAATTTCGGGAGACTTATTTTACTGAGAACACCGCTTACTGGCGTAACGTTTCCTACTTTGTCGATAATAAAATAAGTTCTGAAGTAAACAATGTGTGCGTAAATAATGGTTTCATTTTTTTCCAATTCGTTAACCTACCTATTCATTTAAGTGATATATTGTCCAAATAACTGGTTGAATACCATAAATAATGGCTGATTTGAGGAACTTATTTGTAAAGAGAACAGGCTTTTCTCGACTTATTGTTTTTTTCCTTATAAATTAGTGAACTGTCGTAGGTCCTCTGAATGATAAATGAACTGTAATAAATTAAAGCTTTGGCGTATTCATTTCTTTTCAGGACATAGATGCCGAGATTATTTTAGGTGGAGGACTGGACAGCCAGGAACCATTGGATCAAACCATTTTGATAATTTACGGATTCCTAAAGATTTTAAATTAGTCTTATTTCTAAGATCCCTTCCCTGTGCTAGATACCTATAGCTTTTTTTCAGAAATACACATTTTCTTCGAAGTATCTAAGATTGGAAAGTCTAAGAATATTCCTAGCTAATGTAGGCCCCTGTAAACAAGTTTGTAGACAGTAAAAGTCGAGAAAGTGATCTCTTGGAAGCATTGCGATTACCTAGAATGAATAATGAATTTGAACACTTACGTAAGTAGAATAAAGTACATTATCCAATGTTGTATTGCTATTGGAATATTAACTAGTGTCTATTGATAGAATGTCTAGCTTAATTTAATACCTAACGCGATGTGAGGTTAGTAGGTTTAACATGAGTTTAAATTAGCCATCTATTCTCAATTGTTAAGGCCGGTCGATGACTTTCAGAACTTTGTTTTTCTGACTGACTCTTGAAATAAGGTAACATGATTTGTATTTTAACTATAAATCGCGGGTGTTATTTTAACAAAAAAAAACTTTACTAGTTTACTTTTTATGGGATAAACCGGTAAACGAGCAGACGGATCACCTGATGGTAAGCAATCGGCGTCGCCCATGGACACCTGGAACTCCAGAGGCGTTACAAGTGCGTTATCGGCCTTTTGGGGATTAGGAGTTTGAGGATTGTTGGAGATTCGGGGATTGGGGAAAAGGGAGGGTAATTGGGCATCCGGTAACCTCACTCACACGACGAAACACAACGCAACGTTGTTTCACGTCGGTCTTCTGTGAGGCCGTGGTATCACTCCGGTTGAGCCGGCCCATTCGTGCCGAAGCATGGCTCTCCCACACTTGAACTGTTCTCGGTACTTACTAGTTACTTACTAGAGCTGTTCTCGGTATATTCACGTGAGTAACCCGCGATTTTTAGTTAATTTAATATGTCTTACGATAGTTATTATGATTTGTATTTTTATACTGAAGTAATTATAATTTTGTAGGTGTCTTATGTAATGTTATTATTATTATGATAACCGAAGCAAAGACAATAAAAATCACGATCGGAACTTAACCATACGTTCTTACTAGCGTTTTAAATCGTGTAACATGGATATAAATAAGACTTAGATGTGAATACCAACTTAGTTTTATCTGTTTTACGCCCGAATACTGAAAGACTACTCAATTTTAACTTGTAGGTACTTTAATATCGTGCCATCTCTTTCATTTTACAAACAATTTGTGGAGACAGAACTACACATAAGCGCGACTTAAAATGGAGTAGCGTTTGAGTATTTCGACATAAATACATATACCTATATTTAAATACATAGACGTGACCTACTTTATTGCGCATTTAACATTACATCACGCCTTCCTATCCCCGAAGAGGTAGGCAGAGGTGCACATTACGGCACTTAATGCCACTGTACAATGTAGAGGTAACACCTACTTTTCACTATTTATGTTACGAGTCCCATGTAATAGGGAGTGAGCCTATTGCCATATACAGGGCACAATTCCAGACTCCGTGCTACTACTAAGACTTTTTAAAAACCCAGTAATATTTTGCTCGACCCGGGAATCGAACCTGAGATCCCTTGTCGGTCGCACTTGCGACCACTTGGCCAACGAGGCAATCATTTTTATTACGCATTTATACTAAGTAAAATTAAATTAACTCGTCGAGTACCGGTTTTGCAGACACAATTATAGAACAATAGGTTGCGGTCACCGGTGACCGCTTGGTGTTTGACAGTTTAATCAGTAAGTTACACCCTAAATTAAAAACACGTTTACTTCACGGACTATTAGTATAGACAAACACACAATTTTTTACCTCTACATACATACCTACATAGCTAACATAATTAACGCAGCGTTGACCTCTAAAATCGTCCAAATAACATTAATAATACATATACGTATTAACATATATAGAGGTAGGTAGGTATATTGTCAATAGTCTTCACGTATATGAGTCACTGGCTTATTATACATGAACCACTTACTATTTTACTACGCATTGTGTTAGCACGGAATATTCTCTTAGTTTAAACTCTAGCCAATCTAGCCAATCCATAAATGTAAGCTATTCTAAGGGACCTGTTTCACAATATCTTGATAGTCGCTATATGAGTGTAGATTTTATAAGACCAGATAGATTTTTTTAAGGGGTGAAAATCATCGAGTGACTGCTTCCGCCTGGGTGAGGTGGGAGGGAGTGTCAGACTCATACTGACTAAAAACCACCCCGTTCCTACTCTTGCACTTCGAGCCGGAGCCTCGGTAACCTGTTAGGTTCTCCAGAACATAATTTAGAGGTATATGGCCTATCTGTCACACAAGTTTATCGGGTAGTAGATATAAAGGTGGTGAAACAATTCTAATGTCTCGTGGACCATAGCAAACAATAGGAGGTGAGCATATTGCCAATCACTGGGCACAAGGGTCCAGACTACGTGTTATTTGATAAGTACTGAGATTTTTTTCGAAAATTTGATAACGCACCAATCTTGATCAGCACTTTCAACTAATGATATCTCGACCAACGAGACCTAAAAACCGACGTAGTCACGGTAAGGTTGTTAATGTCATTAATATACCTATATGTCGCGGAGAACCTAACGGGTAACCGGGGCTCCGCCGGCTCGACGTGCAGGAGAAGGAACGGAGTAGTTTTTAGTCAGTATGAGTCTGACACAAAGGTTATGTTCTCAAATTCATATTCTACCCGCACGAAATCGCGGGCAACAGCTAGTCTAGACTAAATACATAAAATCTATTGTCATACTCAGCCATTAGTACACCACTTACTTACGATACAATACCTACGCTAGACGGTACACAGTACACAATAACAGTAGAGTCACATACAAAGACATCCATTCAAGAATCAATTCACCTTGTTGACCCACCAAAACTTAGTCAATGATGTTCTTGCATGGTACACAAATCATATTTGATGTAAGCATTATACAAAACAAAACTTCTCTGAAAGGCCAGACGACAATAGAAGGTTTTTTAAAGTTTAATTTCAATTTGCTTACACATTGCTGATAGATTTTATGGGCATCCTCTTCACAAGAGGGTTTACCATTATCTCCAAGCTCAATAGAGTTAAAGAGCGCAGTTTAGAAGATTTAAGTCTATCAAAGAGCGCTACTACTCGGTCTCTGTCAATTTTGTAGTTAGTTTTTACTACAGCCCGTGAGAAAATTAGGAGTGATTACAACATTTCTACTCCGCCGTCACCGCACGGCTTATTCACCATCACCTGGCCTGCATACATTCAGAATGTGATGCTCAGATTTGTCTAATGCTTACACAAATCATATTAAAATGGAGCCAACATATATTTAAAGCATTACACCAAAAGGATACATATAAGACAGACGGTAAGGGAGAACATAGTTAGTCCGGACAAGAAGGTCATGTACTCGAGGAGTATAAGCACTAACGATGACGCGAAGCCAGCTACCAACCTGCAATCATGCGCATCCTTTAAAGCTGAGCACTACGAAACACCATTAAATGAAAGAGGAGAATAAAATGGCAAAATAACTGAGAAATAATGCTATGGTTAATGATTTTGGAGTTAGTCCTAAAGATGGACTTGTTCAAAAACGGATTTTCGGTAATGTCTTTTATGGATGTTTATTTGTGAATAAATTGTATCAGATGTTTAGTAAAATAGTTTTTGTCACAACGTTTAACATTAGGTATATATTTTCAACTGGTACGATGTCAAAAGAACCTATTAATTAACATTACTTTGTAGTATGCAATTAGAACAAGCCCTTGGCACAAAAGTCATGGTTACAGCCTCTCACCATAGTAATCAAGTCTAGTTAGCATGCACTACCTTCTGAGAAACCAATCATTAAGACTAACTTAAATTAGCTTTAAAAATAATTTGTAAAACTGTCCATAAAATAAATCACTGATATGTGAGTATGCACTTCATAACTCCCGAACTACTTGATAAAGTTAGATAACTATTTTTGTTAAAGTCAGTATCAATCACTACAACATAGTATAAAACAAAGCCGCTATCCGCTGTCTGTCTGTCCCTATGTACGCTTAGATATTTAAAACTACGCAACTGATTTTGTTGCTTATTTTTTTAATAGATAGAGTTCTTCTTAATGAAGGTTTATATGTATAATACATGCATATTGCACCCGTGCGAAACCGGGGTAGGTCGCTAGTTATAAAATAAAAATTTAACACGTTCACCAGGAACATCGGAAAATGGTACTTATGACATGTTTTTCAACCATCAAAGTATATTTTAACTTCTGGATAACAAAAGCAAGTACCAGGACAACATAAGCACGTAAGAACAATCACGAATGTTTATCAAGTTCTACAAAGGACATGCAGTAACAATACAATCACGTGATTACAATCAATAGGTTAGTTTTTTTAAAACAAAGATGGATGGCGAAGCATAATTCAATTTTATTGTTTTAAAGTCTTTACCATGTTAAGTTAGTGTAATGGAATCCATGTTTTATATTACCATTTCATGCATATCTCAGATAGATTTTAAAGATGATAAGACACAATGGACCATAACCGCATCGCAAGTCTTTTGATTATGTCGCGGAGAACCGAACGGGTAACCGGGGCTCCGGCTCGACGTGCAGGAGAAGGAACGGGGTGGTTTTTAGTCAGTAAGAGTCTGACACTCCCTCCCGCCTCACCCAGGTGGGAGAAGTGATTCGATGATTTTCGCCCTTAAAAAAAAGTCTATGTTTCTTTAAAGCCAAACTGCATAGCATAGATTTGAAGTTCCAAGTTTCATTTTCGACATTAATTATGTATACTGATGGAAATTGCAAAGCGTGGCAAATCATTTATTTATACAAAACAGTAGCAATCTTAATGATCTTTTGGAAATGTGGAGAAGATAAGGTATTAATGGTCAAAGACCAAATACCTAAGCTCTAAGTCCGAATGACAAGCAGAATACAATACCACAACAATGCCATTACCAGACAACAATACCAGTGTCAATCAATGATATCAATAAAAACAAATTGATTCAACTTAGTACCTAGTATTTTCACAAAATACCCCATACCCCGACACGGTAGACAAAACAAGAATCAGATACATTTGAGACATGCAATGCATTGATCGATGTTCCTCTTTAAACTGTCAAACACCAAGCGGTCACCGGTGACCGCAACCTATTGTTCTATAATTGTGTCTACAAAACCGGTACTCGACGAGTTAATTGCTTCTTTTTGTCGCGAAATAAAGTTTATTTCTTTCTTTCTTATTTCTTTCTGATAAGCAACAGAATTCTCCAATTCTTTAATTTATCACACTACTATTATAAATGTGAAAGTTTCTTTGTTCGTTGTTTGGATGTTTGTCGGTTAATTACGCGAGAACGACTAAATGTTCATGAAATGAGCTGACTTGGTTGATAGGATACTTATATACCCAATTAAATACTCCCATGGTATAAAACAGGCATCATATTCTACACGGACTAAGTACCGGGCAACAACTAGTTAATTAATAAAGAATTGAACACTATCGCAATAGTTTCCGATATTTATAACGCAATAGTATAATAATTCCGATATTTAAAACTATTGCGTTAGTGTTACAGCCATGCAAATCTATACTAATATTAGAGGTATAAAGAGGAAAGATTGATACCTATTTTTGTATGTTTGTAATAAATAAGCTCAAAAAGTACTGGACCTATTTAAAAAATTATTTCACCAATAGAATGCTACATTCTTCCAATTTGACATAGGCTACATTTCATTTTGAAAAAAATTAGGGCCCCTTGGTAAAATTTGAACAATGTAACCGAAGGTGTAGAAAAATGAGTCTTAAAATGTCTTTCGTCGAATGCGCTGCCGAAACTATTAGCAATAGAACAAAAAAAATGTACAACAATATTGAAGAACATCATAATGTCTACAAAAAACTCCGCGGTAGCATAAGTCCAACTATTGTAGTTATGTCACTACAACAATCCAAATTTCCAAAAATAAATAATAGTCTACCCCGTGTGAAGCCGGGACGGGCTGCTAGTTACTTATAAAAGGTTTATAGATAGTAATAAATTACTAATATTACTTTAATGTCTCCTTGTAAACAATATTATAATATTTTTGTATATTGACTGCCTCGTTGGCCGAATGGGCGCCAGTGCGACTGCCGAGCAAGGGGTCTCGGGTACGATTCCCGGGTCGGCCAAAAACGAACCGCTGTTCAGTATGTGGTTAGATAAAAAATGACCAGAATAAAGGAAATAAAGGTTTTTAAAAATCTCAGTAGTAGCACGGGGTCTGGAAATGTGCCCGGTATATGGCAATAGGCTCACCCCCTATAACATGGGACTCATAACATAAATAGTGAAAAGTGGGTGCTACATTGTACAGTGGCATTAATGTGCACTTCTGCCTACCCCTTCGCGGATAAAAAAGCGTTGTGTTGTATTTTTCTCAAGTTATATTTTCTACGCACTGAAAAAAAGAATTTCTGTTTCCATGACCATACCATGGACGTACACGAACGTAAAGAAGGCTACAGACGTAAATACTTATGTAGGGTTAACAGCCATTGTTGGTGACAAAAGTATATGCTTGTTATTCATTTAATCGAAACAAGTTCACCTGAATATGGCTTAATTAACTGAAAGTGCAATGACCTTACAAATACCTATTCCATTGAAATGCGAAGAAAACAGTTGTTTTCGATATATAAACAACTAAAAATATAACACAAAGCAGATTATTGAGTAGAAGCCTACATTCTATCATGAGTCTTCAGTAATTCCGTTTATGAACTCCGCAACTAACACGTGGTTACTTTAAAATGTTTATCATATGGGGGTTATGAAATATTCCACATCCACACTAATCTATATACAGGGTGATTTGTGACTCGATGAATTCCTCTCGGGAGGTGATGGCTGGATCAATTGCACTAATTATTTGGTATTTGTTATTATTAGGAGAAGGTTCTTAAGATAGAAAAAAACGGGAAAATCCTACGGAAACGGGAGAAAACGGGAATGCGCGTACGAAGTCGCGGGCAGCACAACAGAAACGACGTCACGACTGCAACTGAACTGCAAACCAAACGAGCAGTCCGATTGCAATTCTATTGCAGTCACACGACTGCGTGCAACTGTGTTCAAACTGCACTTGAACTGCAATTGCAGTTATGTTGCAGTTAAAATGCGGTTCGCCTGTCTAGAGCCTTAGAGACGACCATTGTTTCTTGTTTTATCTCTTAAACAAAAGTTAAATTACAAAAACGTGACCAAACTTTCGATAAGCCAATAACAAATCAAACAATCCAAGTTTATAGTTTATACCGAAAATTAATCATGTTAATAACAAGAAGTTCAGTCAACAATCGAATTTTCACACGTGACCGAATACAAAGGAGTCATGCGATCCGGACATTACACGTGCGGGCAACAACTGCGCCGGCGCAACTCGCAAGGCATGTTTACTTCGACGGAACAAAGGTTACGGGGGTACATGACAACGTGATTAAATACACACCGATCAATGACCGTTGTGATAATTAAAAAAAGCCTTCGAAAACATAAGCTAAGAGGATAATCACGTGAATTCAAATATGCATGAGCTAAAAGGATAAATTCGTATTGGCATTGTGGTATTGCAACAACTTCGTGTTATCCGCAATTGCATTGTGTCATGGTGTTTGGTAGTTAGTTGGTTGGTGTTTGGTAGGACGCGTTTGTTAGAAATTAGAATTACATTGACATTTTTTTAGCAATAATAACTAACAAAAAAATGCCAATAAAAATTACATAACATCATAACATCACGCTTTTTATCGTATCGCTATCCCCGAAGGGGTAGACAGAGGTGCACATTATGGCACTTGTGCGCAATGAACCACAAAAACCCACTTTTCACTATTTGTCTTATGAGTCCCATTGAATAGGGGGCGAGCCTATTGCCATATACCGGGCACAATTCCAGACTCTGTATTACAACTAAGAATTTTTTCAAAATTTCAAATAATTCAAAAATAAAAATTACATTAAGTATATTAAAAAACTAATAAAATCACACCTTATTATGTTTTCGTGTTTGATTTTAAAAACACTCATAATCATAGTTTTCGCCCCTGCATATCGTAATCGTCAATTATTTCATACATGCGCATGCGCATTATTACTGAAACGTTACTAAACTATTAAGTAACATTATTACGTCGATATTAATCGATTATATTATTGCATATTATCTAATAGTTTTACATTCTCAGTGATTTTAATAAAAATACGTATCAATATGGAACCTATTTATGGCACTATGGGAATTAATAGTGTTATGAATGAAAGATTTACAATAACAATCCTATTACGTTTCCTGGTACACCTATGAATACTCATTTATTTTAATTAAAAAAATATTAAAACTGTTGTTTTTATGTTTTGCTCTAAGTCAAACCGATTACAACGAGAGAA